CCATTTCAACTTTGTTGATATATCCAAATTATTTAGAAAAATATAGGTTATTTAATTAAGATTTAAATGTCAAGAGCGAGGTTGTACATAATTTTCATATTATTATTTTGTCTTCCTATTTTCCTTTTTCAGTGCTTTTTCTTTCTTTGGATTTTGTTGATGTATGATAATGTAAAAAACCACAAAAGCACAAAAAAAAATTTCAACCAAAGCAAACTCCAGCCCACATTGAATAGTAATAAATTGATTCATTTATCAATTTTAATGTTCCATTTCTTTTTCCAGTGTTCTCAGTTATATCATTGGAATCATCTGGCTGTGTGCTTTAACTGATCGCACTTTTAATGGTCGTGTTTATTTCTCTGAGAATGCATTGTTACCTGGTCTGGTTGAAGCAGAATTCAAGAATCATAGATTTGCATCAGAATTATTTGGGAAGTTATCAACTCTTCCAAAGGGAGATATTAGGTACCCATTATTACAGTTCTTCTCTGCTCTTGAAATTTAGGGGAGATATGAATAAAAAAGACTTTGGACTGCTTAAATAACTTCTCACAGAATCCTGCCAAAATTTGAAGGTATATTTATTCCTCTATGAAAAACAGGCAAAATTTAAGGAGAGGTTGTATAAAAGTCACAAAGGTCTTTGTTCCACACACCCCCTAAAATTTATGGGTGCAAACCATCTTTTGCATTTAATTTAGTAAATTTTGTATAAGAAAAATGGAAAATATTGGTGTGGCTATAGTTAGGTTTTTTCCTTAAAAAAATAAACTTAGTGAAATCTGCTTCATTCTTTTGCTAGATTTTTGTAAGTATGATTTTCTCAATGGTCTATGATGGTTTTCATTTGAAATTTATTTGCCAGACCAAGGAAATTTGATTAGAAGAATTTGGGGTACACCTCCCTAATTTCTCTCTATTGATTTGTTTTGTGACTATTACTGATCATAGCCATCCCTCCCCTCTTCAATGCAACCATTTTGTGTGTCTAGATGTACTGTACAATGAATTCAACTCAATTGGCATTTTCATTATTCATCAGTCGATGTATTTTCAATTGTTTATAGCAATTCAGCCACAAAGATGATTATGAACACAATGGAGAACATTGGTCTTCACACTTACCAACAGAACTTTACAGTTTACTTACCATTTCCTGGTGTTTCTGAGCCACCTGAGATTAGTGGCATTAACATTTATGGGATTCTTAGAGCTCCCAGAATTGCTGGCACTGAAGCACTGGTTATAAGTGTTCCTTACAATCAAGGGAACAATAAAGGAGCTTTAGCACTCATGTTGTCATTTGCTGACCACTGTCGCAGTGAGTATAAAGAGTGTTCAAATTCTAAACCATGTGTTTTAACCCTTTAACCTTTAATAGAGACTTGCATCTACTTTCTTCCTGCAATATCACCCTTGAATCAATGATAATTTAATAATAATAATAATAATAATGATTAAGCAGTGGACAATCCACAAAGTGGCTCTTCCTGTCTACTGTTTCCAGGTCAAATCAGAATTTGGAATGTTGGTTTTTGTGGGGGGAGGAAAACCAGAGGACATGGAGAAAAACCCTCAGAACAAGAATATCAGAACCAACATCAAACTCAACCCACATGTGACGCTAGGTCCGGGAATCCGACCCGGGTCACAGTGGTGGGAGGTGACTGCTCTCACCACTGCGCAATCCCTGCTCCCCCAAACATCACAAGCATGAGAATAACGGAAATAATTGCCAACTAAAGAGGCTCTTGATTGTTAAACAAATTCTCTTTGTCAGCATCTTAAGAAATGTTTAGAGAACAGTATGGAGAATATGCATACTGATGTTACAGTGTTAAGAGTTAAAGCTGTTCTATGTCATGGGAGTTTTTGTCTAATTTTAAGTTATTCGAGTTGAATGGAAATTTTACCTCAACTTTCTATATTGAGACATTTGAAAAGAAGGCCTTATGCTGAAGGATTTTTAAAAAGTTTTCTCATGTAGAAATTACTCTGGAGTCAGTCTTTTGTAGGACTTCGACTGATTTCCTCTTTTTTTTTGTTTTGTTTTGTTTTGTTTTGTTTTTTAATATTTGAGTATTCAATTCTAATTTAAAGGAATGTCTTTCAGGGAAAAGTTACTGGTCAAAGGATATCATTTTTCTTGTGGCTGATAGAGATCAACTTGGTATGCAAGCTTGGCTTGATGCATACCATGGTGTTCCAAATTCTTGTAAGTACCAGTTACCTGTACCTTTTTTTTTAATGTATTTATGATAGCGTTAACTTCAAGCTTTTGATTGCATGAAGAAATTGCAAGTAAATGCAAATTAGGATTTTTCCTGATGAGAGTGCATTTGGTTGACTTTCTTGGCTTTGACAAAGCCAAATCTCCCAGAATTAAATTCTCCTTCTTTTGTTTACAGACATTTCTTCTGCTCCTCTTGAAGGACATTCTGGTTCTATACAAGCTGCACTGAACTTGGAATTTCCTCATGAGAAAGTGAACTTCTTTGAAATTGCTATTGAGGGAATTAATGGACAGCTTCCCAATCTTGATCTAGTGAACACTGTGTTCAGGATGTGTCGCAAAGAGTATGTTCCAGTATCTCTTCACACAGAGGTGAATTAGATTTTTTTGAAAGTGGAAACAATGAGTGTTCAGTAAATGTGTTAAAACTTCATTGACCTGGAATTCATTTTAAACTGATGATTAAATGGATATTCAAAATGAATAGAAACATGTCCATCAAAGGCCCCTTCTGGAACAGTGTAGGAGGCAAACCAGATGGGTATTTACTGTGTACAAATGTGGCTGAGGAGTTGAACAAAGAACATTGAGAAACATATTAATGTTACTGGTGATCGGAGTGTGACAATTTGAAACAAGGGCTACTGGATCAGTTGCTGAATGTGCTGATCAGACAGCCATTAAGCCTTCCTTGAGCAGAAGTCATCTTAAGAGTCAATCTTGACGACTCTGACTTGTCAGTGATGATATCTGCTCAAGTTCTGATAGTCATCAAAGTGTCTGGCAACTCTAGCTTAGATTCTCCAGATTTTAGACACTTCCCTGACAAAGTCCTTTCCAGGGCTACCTTGGGTGGAAAATCATCATCATTATGAAATGATTGAGTACATAGTAGTCATTTTTATTTTAGGCTTCATTAGCCCTTTCAATCTCAAGTTTCTAATATGAATTCTCTGCATTATCTGCCATACTTTTTTTACCGATCTTAGCTTTGAGAACATTCCCACGTTGATATTTTTTATCCTCACATCACTTTTCTGCATGGAATTGTATCTACTTTGTGAGAGGAAATCTATTTTTACGTACTACTTACTCCAACATTTTCAGACACATACAATGATTATTTGTATCATTTGATTATGACAGGGATATCATGAACACCTAGGACCCTGGGCAGATTCTGTGCAATCTCTCATTACCATGGTGATGATGATGTTTTACCAAGCCTCTGGAAGGGCTTCTGGCAATCATGGCTTGTTTCACAGATATCGTATCGAAGCTGTTACAATGAGGGGTGGTGAGGACACCTCTCAGTATGGGCGTGGATTTCAGGAGACTGGAAGGTGGGAAAGTGTTGTCAGGATTTTTTTTTTAACCCCTTAACTCCCAGAAGTGATTAACAGGTAACTTTGACCTGAAATATCCTTACATTGTCCTGCAAACATCATCCCTTGTCAGGAGAGAGAGAGGCTAGAATGAAAGGCAAAACAATTTTTAAGGCACTGAATGGCATGTTGTGCACTTTCTGTATGAAAATTTTCAAAGATTCAGCACTGTTCACTCGTCTTTCTTAAGTTCCACATGTAGATTATCTTGTGATGTTTCATGCTACTTCTCATAAAGAAAGATTCAACTTTTGACTCACTGTTTAGTTTGCCAGTCATAAGGTAACACGGACATAATGTTTTTTGTATACTGTTAATATGATTTAACATTTATTTCATCTTAGCTTCCCCCCTTTACATGTAGAGTTAAGTTTACCATTTTACACAGTGATAGACTAAGATCTTTTTATAAACTCTTAAATATTTGCTCCTTGCTTTGGCAGAGTCATTGAGGGTATTTTCCGCAGCTTGAATAACCTCCTGGAGCAATTTCATCAGTCGTTCTTCTTCTATCTTTTACCTGAATCTCATCGATATGTGTCAATTGGCCTGTACATGCCTCCCTTTGGCTGCCTTCTGCTAGGTACTCTGATTATGGCTATAAAGTTGTGGGTATTAGCCGGGTCTGCTCCAGAAAATGGCTCAAAAGTTGACACCTCACAAGAAGGCGAAGTTTTGAAGGAAGAAGCTGAAGGGGAAATAGCTGAAGGGGAGAGTGGTGAAGAAAAAAGTGATAATGAAAAGAAAATTCCTGATTTAGAAACTGAGGTTTGTTGAGGTGTCAATTTGAATATAAACCCTGTTGAATAAGATTTATAAAGAAGTCACAAGTGTGGGGAAAAGGAAAAGAGAAGTACGTGCGTGGGTTGCATGTAACATGCGCCTTGTACAATGTTAAAGGAGTAACTGTAGGTCAAGTCAGTTTCAGCTCCGCAGAGAATTGCCCTTGAATGGAATTGTCCTTTGAAATATTAGTTTGTTAGAGTAGATAAATAGGTAAGAGAAATGAGTAAACCATAAAAGAACCAGGATCTTAAAGGATGAAGATTGACTCAAACAAAATTACGAAAATGAAAATTTTTAAGCAAAACTTTCCAAGATGCACCAGCCGTGACGCAGCTCCTGAAACTGTCGTGTGACGGTGAAATCTGCTTAACGCCGTCATGATCTCATGTAAAATGCTGAGAGTGTCGTCATTTTGCAGGTAGCATTTTTGCAGTGTCCTCCTGACATCGGAAGCGTGGTGCCTATTGCCATGGCGACTCACATGGCTGGTGTTTTTGTGTTCTATTCCCCAGAGCTTAGTTATAAACTAGGACACGTTACAGGACTGGATCCTTTGCTCTGTACATATGTTGGAATGGCTTTCTCTTTCCTTCTAGTTGTGTTTCTCCCTCTTGTTACAAGGTAAGAGACGTTTTCACGTCACTAGTAGAGAAATTACAGAGTGAAATAGAGAATAGTTAGATAAATGACGTATGTAGAAACGAAAGTAGCAAGAATGAACTCACATTTTGAGCAATTTAATAATTGACTGTCGAAAGTGAGCTGAGAATGCATTGTTTTGCCTTAGTTTGCTCTGTGATTGGTCTAGAACACTCGCGCTACTCTCTCCACCAATCAGATGCCGAATATAAATCAATCACGACTCGGCCGGCCGCGTTTTCCTGTGGTTTGGTTGCTTTTACTCTGAGTTCTCATTGATTCTCAAAAATAATTTCGTTTCCTCTGATTAACCGTTGTTATTACTTTAGCTTTGGTCTTACGACACTCAATCGAAGAGCACTCTAATTCAATTTTCTTGGAATCCTTAATTCTATCCTTCGAAAAAAGTGACAGAAGACTCTCTCTTTAGGCTGATGTAAAAATTTCATTTAACTACAAACAGTCAAAAGCCGACGGCGAGAAGTACAATTTTTTATTTCTGTTTACTATTTTCAGTTAACGCTATGCTAAATCTCTGTAATATTTCATACATGTACGTATTTTCCTATTGATTCATTTTTCTATTATTCAGATGGACATTCAAGCATAATGTCCTACTAACAATAATAGCTAATTACTACTACTACAGAAGTTGCGGCGTTACTGAACTTCTAAAGCACAATGCTCTTATATCATAAACTTTCTCAAACTAGTATTTTAATTGTTAAATGTTCCATGTTAAAAAAGAACCAAGACTTACAAGAATTAAGTGGGTTGTTCATATAGCCTTACAGTACTGTACAGTTCAAAAGTAAGTAATTAATCTCGTCTTCAGAGATTCTCTAAAGCCAAAAGATTAAAAAATAATACAAGTTTGAGAGAGATGTTCGTAGAGTGCTGCAAGGATATATTCAGACCTGCCAGACGCCGTTTTCTTTACATTGTTCGTTCTTTTTAACGGTTACTAACTGCACCGCTGTATTTCGCCGTTGTAAACGTATAGTCAGCAACTTGTGCTCTTGAAACAAACACTGTATTTTGTCTGGGCTTGAACAGAATTATATAAATTCTCGGTGCGAAAATACAAAGTAAGAAGCCCAAGGCACTGGTGATGTTTGTGGCACATTCAAGCACAGTTATGTACCATCCTTCGAAGGCGAACGCTACTGGATAGTAGGATATCACGGAGAGAAATAAGACGTACATGGAGAAACCGATGCGCTTCGCTTCATTGAAGTTTTCGGGGATATTTCTCACCCTGAAAGCGTAGTACGCACAAACCAACCATAGCAAAACTCCATACGTGATGTTAGCGAGTAAGATGTTTTTTCCGGCAAGGTTAGAATATGGCTTGCACATAGCTGAAATGTGCTGCAGATGGGTGATGGTGATTTTCTTGTAAGGCGGGCCTGAAACAAGCCAAGCTACCGTTAAACCTGTCTGAACAGCTGTAAGAATCGCTAGGAGAGCTCTCTGTGTACTGGCTTTGGAAACTAAGGGCTTGACATTCCGCGCAACAGTGTTACCTCGAAATGCGCTGACAATATGCATCGTCTTTACAAGAAGCGCGGAAACACACATGATCCAAATCGTTATCCGTCCACAATGGCTGAAGCAGCAGATAGTGTCGGTCGAGTCGGAGAGATTTAGTAGGGGTATGACAAATAGATAAGTGATCCCTGCCAAGAGAATTAAACTCATTTCTCTGTTGGCCGCCTTAACTACGGGTGTGTTGAAATACTTCGCTAAGATGCCCCAGGTAAGGAGTGCTAGAACGAGTCCAACACTGGAGAGAAGTGCCACAATTACACCAGTCACACTGTTCATGTGCATGCTTAGTATTGGTAAATCAACACAGCGCGATCGTTTTTCGTTCGATTGCTGTGTTTGTGAGCATTCGGTGCAGTTGCGAGAGTTGTGACTTGTGCTTATGCTGCCTAGTGGGCACCTGATGCACTTCCAGCAGCAGGGCGTGGTCAGCGACTGCCTGGTTCCTGGAGAACAGTCTTCAGCGCAGATTGACCGCGGAGCTCTTTGATTTATAAGTGTGTTCCATACTACGTTTGATTCCAGTGCTAGCTGTGGATTCTTGTCTTTCATCCAAGACCCCACCAAAACTTTTTCGTACTTTTTCTTTCGCCGGTTGTTTCGCTGAAAATTGACGATGTCGTAAGATGCCACGATACGATCACCAAAATGATTGAATTGTACTCTGCCAGTGGCTCCTTGAAAACTTACGTTCTTAAGGTAGATTGGAAGGCTTTTTGTAACATTATCGGGTGTAACACCTGGACATTTTCCCTCAGGAAGAAGACCATTTGGTTCAACGCATTTGTAGATGTTGTCGAGAGCATGAGCTACTGCATACACGGCATCTAAAAGGTACGGAACAAATGAGCTGCGAATTTTCTTAATGAAGCGATGTGAGGAAATGGTGTCTTTACAAGCGGACAGTGTTTTGTTGCAGATCTGTATCCAAAACTCATCCCACCAGGGCGAGTTTGCCCTCAATGTGGCATTTCGTGTTAAGTGCTTCAAATGTTCATCAAATGGTAAATGGCGGAAGTCTTGTGGCTGAATTCCCAAAGATCCATCGAGTCCTGCAAAGCGCGGGTCAAGATGCACCCTCTCCTCGGCGGTCATAGCGTCGCTAAAAATCCAAGTACGGTCGCGCACTCCTTGTTTGTTGGTCTCATGGAGGAAAGCTCTTGCATACCCACCTGACAACCACACCAGTACAACCCCAATGTTCCGCTGTTTCTTGAGTTTGAAAACAATTTGAACGAGCTTTTCTTGGTAGCTTAGTCGTGGAATAAACTCGGAAAAAGCGATGCAAAAGGTTCTTCGCCGGTATACCTCTTTTTTCACCGCCCAAATACCCTGACGTCCGTACGAGTCATCGATTGCGAAAGCCGCTACGTAAGTCCATTTGAAATACTCGATAATGTCGGCCATGACTTTCGCCTGCCACGTATCACACGGGATTGTGCGAAAAAAATCCTGGTACATTTTGGAGCTGAGCTCGTGGCTTGTCGCTGAGGGGCTGATGGCAGCGATTCCGTGCACTTGGAGAAGACTTCCCACTAGAACAGCGCTTTCCGAGTCGTACGGGCCTATCAGAGCATTTACTGGTTGCGGAGGTGAAGAATGTTCATCCAAAGTGCGGTTCTTATCTGCTCGACTGAATGCATCAGTGTTTTGAACCAAGTCGTACGCCATTCTCATGGCTATTCCCGCGTTCTCGCAGTAATCTCGAATATCATAACCGATAGTGACGTTTGGTAAGATGTTGGAGTCGTTGTTAATGCGCTCAATGGCGAACAACATGGCTTCGACATGGCCAAGACCCATGGCAAACAAACCGCCGCAGTTATCGTTGGGTCCATTGAAGTGTACATCAAAAAGACCTCCCAATGTTACATCTGCTGGCTTGAAAATGCGATTCTGATTAAACTTGGTGTCCGTTTGATGTATTGGGACTATCACGCTTAAAATGAACAACAGGGAAGCGATTCTTAAACGAAGCATGGTCAAAAGTTCGCATTAATGCAGTCTTACTCCCTCCTGGTAGGGTCTAATTGAATGCGTAAATTATTTGTTTAGAAACTCGCTGTTTCACAAGAACTATTTGAGGTTTTTTGACGCGTATTAGTTTACACGGACATTTTCCTTTCGTCAAAAAGAAAAGTCTATGTAAACGGTTCTATTATTAATTCTTGTGTCTACCGTATTTGTGCTATCTGTAAGCCCCTAAAATTAATTAATAAAACGACGAATCAATTTAACTCTCCAAACCGGTTTTGAGAACATAAAAGCCTCTTTGGTTTGCTTCTTCTATTCCACGAACAGAAGAAGTAGAAAAAATCAACCCCTTTTATTAGATTCTATCGACATGGGCCATGAGTTGTTTGTATTTTCACACCCTTTCATTAAGAAGTCGTCGAGTACCTTTTTCTGTGTAGTATAATATTCGAGCAGTGGTGAACTTAAAAACAACAGATAAATTCAGAACAACTCTTACCACAAATGAGAAAGGGAAAATCTATTTCTGTTGTCGCTTACATTTCTTCCGATCCTTCAACTGACAGATCCAATATAGAAATAGAAACACTACACTAGTCTTCCATACATCAACAGTAAATCTGCCACCTTATTACACAAACAGATGAAGTGTAAACGACAGTATGGTGTTCTACACATCAACAGTAAATCTGCCCACCTTATTACACAAACAGATCAAGTGTAAACGACAGTATGGTGTTCTACACATCAACAGTAAATCTGCCCACCTTATTACACAAACGGATGAAGTGTAAACGGCAGTATGGTGTTCTCGCCATTTGTGTAAAACGTGGTTTTTATAGAATTCCTCTATAATTACTCGTTTGTGGCAAACTTCTGTGGAGCCGAATTGATGAATCAGAAATTGAGAAATTATGCCTTTTGTCTCTGAAAGGGAGGAAATAAAATTTTTTTAACCAGTTTAGGCGTCAAGTTGTCAGTGTGTCAACAAATTTCGCCAAGTTTCGCCAATTGTAAACATTAATGATCTGGATTTATATCCTATAAATGCGCATGCCGTGTCGAACGGAACTGCAAAG